TGGTAAGGAAACTGACCTGTCTTGCTCCGCATTACCCTTTCCTCTTCTCGAAACCTACGTGTGAAACAATCACACGCTAAGTCGAAGACTTAGTGAGGCATAACGACTTACAATGCACTTCATAACATATATCAATACATGCATGTTCTGTTCTATCATGTTATACCAATTCCATGCATTCTTCGTATCATATAAATCATATCAGATTAATTACAGTAAATACATACAGACACATAATTCATCATTAACAGTTTATCATGTAATCACATACTTTTATTGTTAACCTTTTCAATCAAACACTATACACACACACATCATATGGTTCACGTAACACATTTCAAACCACTTATAACCCCATCGTATACATATCACATTCAGTATGCTTGTTTAATCACTTTATTAGCCCATGTACACTAGTGAGAACTTAAGGTATGTGAGTACATTGAGGTTGTGCACACATATGCTGTCACCACAGCTCGATCAATGTCCCGAAGGACCAGTCCATAGATTCCGAAGAACCTAGGTAATCAGTCCATATGTCCCGAAGGACATAAGTAAACAGTCCGTATGTTCCGAAGAACATAGGTAAACAGTCCATATGTCCCGAAGAACATAGGTAAACAGTCCATATGTCCCGAAGAACATAGGTAAACCCTCAACCCTTGGCATGCCAACTATACCCCTAGCTCTCATATCACATAACATGGGCATTATCATTTATAACAGTTCACATTACTTATTCATATTCTTTCTCTTATAACCACATAGCTTTTCTTTTCAGTCACGTATCACATGTACGTGTAAACATATATCTAATATCATATGTTACATGTAATCACATAGATCTTATCTCATAACATATACTTGTTTTCACATATATATTTCATATCATTTCACATATACACTTTCATATCACATGCCATATAAGCTCATAGCTTCTTTCACATATACATGTAGTCACATAGCTTCTTTTCATATTCTCATAGGATCACATAGTTCATATCTTATACTTTGTTTTCTCATGTTCACATATATCATGTCGTATGGCTCATATCTTTCTCATGCAGTCACATAGTTCAGTTTCACATATGTTCATATATATACATTACATAGCACATACTTCTCGTAACATTACATTCAAAAGCATGTTAACACATATAATCATGCATACATACAATTCATGTCATTCATATACGTATAATCATATATTCATGCATTCTAACAGAGGAAATAGACTTGTCGCAAGTCCTGTTTCCATTTAGCACCATAAACTAATTAATATGCACTCACCTGGCCTCACTAGTCAATTCCAATCTCTTATCTTTCCCCTTGATCGATCTTACTTGCCAAACGTTCCGGAATTCTTTATGCGTAGAATCTACATAAATGTACATTTCGAGGTAATCATTAGATACCTACACCTTGTAATTGAATACTAGCAACTTAAACGAACTTATTAAACCAATATTAACATTTTTCTTTAGGGGGAATCGGTTCCCTACCATGGGGGTATCGATTCCCTCAAGACATTCTGGAATTCTTTCGTTTGAAGGGGTATCGGTTCCCCTTGAATGGGTACCGATTCCCCTTGCCCAGAAATCATATTTTCAACCCGAAAATTACTTCATTTCCTCTCAAACACTTCATATATCATCCCCTTTTCATTCTTAACTCTAGTACACATACTTAACCCAATCTATATTCATTTATTTCATCTTAAACCTCAAAATCCTATCTTCCATATGAGATTCAAAAATCATACCAAATTTTCAATATGTTCTAAATTCAATTATATCACTCCAAATCTCTTAATTTAACTATTGACAAGTCAAATTTAACTTCAAATTCTACTTATCAATTCCTTTCCAAAATTTCATATAAAAACTCCAAATCTTTAATCTCTCTTAACCCCTCCATCCTTTGTTTTTAAGATGATTTAAGCTTTCCTTAAGCTTAGTTATCATCTAATAATCAAAACCCAACCTTAAAATCAACAATTCATTTACAAACAAAGAAACTTACCTTTGGCTTGCTCCCCCACGTATGAAGAAGAAGAAAGGAGAAGAGCACTCTGGAGAGTTCTCTCCCCTTTTCACGTGTATATCATTCCTTGAATGATCAAATGACCATTTAACCCTTAATTTCCTTTAATAATTACTAAATAACCTTCAATATATATTCAAATAATCATTGAATTATTTCATTCTTCTACTTTAGTCATCAAATTCTGAAACTTTACAATTTGATCACTAACCCGGTATTGAGGATGTTACATTTAGTCTTTACAATAGAGTTATAAGATTTTTTTTTACATAAAAGTAGAGTTATAAGTTTTTTTTTGTATTAATCCATTATGATTACATGTGATGATATATGTTTTGAATATCTTCAATCATCTAAAGCTTAGATATTTAAAGGTGTTGTGAAAGTCATGAAACATATATGCGTACTACATTGAGAGAATATGCAAATAATATGGATCAAATATGTGATTATATCAAAATATTTAATTGATGTTAATGACAGTTAATTCGGGCTGACTACATCTTAATTAAATAGAAACGGAAGTAATATCTTAATTAAATAGAAACACTATATCTTATGATTTTTTAAAACTAGTGACTAAAAGTGAACAAAACACAAACATAAGTGATCATCTGTGTAGTTGAACCCTTCTTTTAATTATAATAACTAGGCAAAAATTTCGAGATAATGTTCTGGAAAAAATTAATTCACGAGATAAAACACTCCCAAGATTAATTACTCAAATAAGGTGAAATCCACAGTGTTGGCCGTAAGTCGCCATGCCTTCCGGGCGACCTACTAGGTCGCCATGTCTTCTCGGCGAGCTACAAGAGATAGCATGTGCCATGCACGTCCCAACACGCTGGGCATCCGAGGCCATCCGACCGAGGCTATCCGAGAGCATCCGAGGCCATCCGAGAGCATCCGAGAGCATCCGAGGCCATCCGAACGAGCTATGCGATGGCATCCGAGGGCAACCGAGCGAGCTATGCTAGGGAATCCGAGGGCAGCCGAGCGAGGGTAGGTCGCCCGGAGTGCATGGCGACCTACAAGGTCGCCCGGAGGGCATGGCGACCTATGTGTTGGGACGTGCATGTGCCATGCAACACGTTCATTCTCTCTGTTTGAGCAAGGGTAGGTCGCCCGGAGTGCATGGCGACCTACAAGGTCGCCCGGAGTGCATGGCGACCTACAAGGTCGCCCTGAAGGCATGGCGACCTACGGCCACTGTGGATTTCACTTTATTTGAGCAATTAATCTTGGGAGTACATTAGCTCGTGAATTAATTTCTTTCAGAACATTATCTCGAAAGTTTTGCCTAATTAAGATGTTTGTCAATGGTATAATTAATGGTGGGGGTGAGAATATTTTGAATAATTTTATTTTTGAACCAATATTTCGAATTATTAAGTTGTAATTCGATTTTTTTTTCTTCCCATTAAAGAAAAGGACACATGGTTTTGTCATTGGACCTTTTAGGTGAGGACCACTTATCCGGTTCCCACTGTAGCTGTTTATCTTTGAACATTAAATTTCTTTTGATTTTTTATTTCAAGAGATGAAAGTAGTTGTTTGACTCTATAATTTAAAATAATTAGTACTTATATATAAAATATATTTTTGTACTGATTATAGCAAGGAATAACAACGGGTTGGATCGGATTTTTGGTTAATGTGATTCAATCTGGAAAAAATATTTCTTTCATTCGAACTTGATTCGACTCTTAAATTATATATATTTTATCCAATCTAATATGACCCAAAAAATATATATCATTCATTGATTTTGACCAGACTCCAATTTTAGAGTATAAATTCTACCTGACCCGATCTAATATAAAATAAATATTTAATTAAAATAATAATAAAATATTTAAAGAAAATTATGTTATTATATTCGGATCGGATCAGGTCAAAAATTTTCACCCGAACTCGACTCGATCTAATTCGAATATACATTATTTTAAAAAATTAGACTCTATCGAATCGAATCGGGTCGAAACCGTCACTTTCGAATCACATTGCCATCCCTGATTATAGCAATTATAAGTTTGTTTTGACTTCTGACTTGGAAAGTTTCCACCAGATGCTAATCCTTTTCGAAAGTAATGGGCAAGTTGAATTTTGCTTTCTCTTCCCTTAAAGTTGGACAATTAAGGAATTGGAAAATAAAAATAGGAATTACTTTATAGCTGCGGGATAAGGGATCGTAATAGGTTGGGTCAATTCAGGTTTTAAATTAATTCAAATTTAATCTAAATAAAATATTTTTATTTTGTTATCGATTTGATATAATTTTATAAAAATATATTTAAGATGAAATGTGATCTAATTTTTGGAATAATACTCAAAATCCCAATTTTACGTAACGGACTCGATATACATAAATGCTCTCTCACACACATATATAATTCTCATTTTGAGTAAATAATATAAAAATTATTTAAAAATATAAAAAGAAGAATATATAAATATAAATTATACCATCGTTATCAGGTCAAATATTTTTATCCTAAAATGATCTAAAAAATTATTATCAAATCCAATTCAATCCTATTTTTTTTTAAATACAAAACTATAAAATTGATAGTTTTTAAATATAAAAATTAAAATATTTTACTAAATTCATAAATTATTAGAATTAAATACTTAAATATTTAATTCGATAGGATCCAACTCTATTAATATTTAATAGTAACATAGTTTAACAAAAGTGGAACTTGGGCTAGGGACAAGCCCAAGCAGGCGCCACCAATGGGGTAGCCTTAGCCCATAGGGCATATCTAAGCCCTAGTCTCTATTCGGCGCCTTCGGAGGCCGTTTCTTTCAAACCCTCGTTCCCTCCCTTATTTTCCCGCTCTCTCTATTGCTGCATAAAAATCCGCCCTAATCTTCCGAACGTCCAAACCCTAGCTCCCTCTCGATCAGATCAGCCTTCCGTTTTCGATACAGATCAAGTGCCACTGTTTACAATCATGAATCGGAGAAGCCGATCTTTAGCCAGGCATTCCCTGCCTCGATCCGAACCTTTCTTGAAGTATCTCAAACCCGGCGCCCTTGCTCGCCTCAGAGATTCGCGGATCAGCGCCAGATCTCACCGAACCAGCTCCCTCTTTCAGATCTCTCCGTCTTTTCCGTCGTCTAATGGTGGCCAACTCTCATCCTCCGCAGCCGTGGACGGCTTCCCTTGCTTTGTGCCGACAGCTAGAGTCTACGGTCCCCGGTGTCTGCAGAGGAGGAAGTTAGTCGCGGCCAAGGGAATGCTGTTTCAGAGTTCATCACAGTCGGCTTTGGATTTGCCAGATCCGGTTGTGGATTTGTTAGCTAGTGAATGAATCTGGTTTAATCTGTGAATTTGAGCTAGTTTTGTTTAGCCATACCTTTTAGATTCAGTTGTTATCTTCTTGTTTCATAATTGGAAAAATAATAATATATTTAACCAATTTGCAGTTTTCCCTTTTCAATATATTCTTTGCAATTCTAGAGAGTTTTCAGAGCTGTTTGATGAGGTAACTTTATTAATGAATCTCTTTGGTCATGTTAATGTTAATTAGGGTTCTGATCAAGTAAATCTGCAATTTTTCAAGGCTTTTTTCATAGTGGTTTCATGATTGTCATAAGCTCTTCGTTGCATGTGACACTAGCTTCATTGCTGTTCAAACTGGCTTAGACTATGAATACTGGCGTTGGCATCATTTTTTATAACCTTTGTGCTTACCCTCTGCAGGATTAGAACCAGGTTTTATCTGAAAGGGCGCTAGTTGGCATAACTTAAGTGTGATTTTGTATACAAAAATGTTAATTATGATATTGAAGTGGTTTGCTTAACTAAAGTATTAGCTTCCTGCTGACCTTTTGAGCTTGCATGATACATTCACATCCATAGTTCTTGGTCTTCCGGTAATGGCATTCATCATGAGTTGAAGTAAATTGCACAGAAATGGTGTCTCTTTGCTTGCATTTATTTCCATATTTTAGGAACTCTTTGCAAGCTTTGGTGAGTATACTTAGTCTGAATCCCATGTCGGTTACTTCATCGAGAGTAATGGAGAACAAGTCTCAAAACAAGCGCGGGAGATTTGACCAGAATTGTAACAGTAAACAGACTACATCAATCTTGATATAAAAATATTTTTTATCTTTTAAATTAACACATAAACCCTTCAAAGAAGTGACTTTCAATTTTCTAAGGATGAGAAATTAGATAAAATTAACTTTAAATATAATTTAAAGGCCATAGTCCTAATGATAGATGCCCTAATATATCAACTTTAATTTCTAATCAATCCATTATCAATTAAAAATTAATTATTTAAATATCAACATTACACCACTTTAATATGGACTAATCCTTTTATAATAGTAAATAACATACAATTATTTATTTATTTATTATTTATGTCATGTTCATGTAATTTAATATTCTCCCACTTAAACGACATATATACATATTTTTATAATTGTATGTCAATATAACTTTATAACCTTATGAGTTCAAAAATTTACTATTACAACCCAAGGTTTAATAAAAAACTCATTTGTAGATCGGGATTTTGACGAAGGAAAGATGTAGAAATTATCTCACTAGGAGCATGAACTCGTATGGTTCCAAGGTGACATAAATCTTATGACTTGATTGTTTTATATTTTGGTATACTTTGTTTCAACTGTTGAAACATATTACTAATTCTTTTAACACCAATTATCATTTTGTTCGGATTCGGGAGTTTTTTTGTAAGATAGGGTGTTCTAACAGTGGTACGTTTTTTAAGACATAATATAGAATTAAATATCTGAACTACACTCAAATTAATTCTTGGTGTCTAAAATTTTTTTAAAAATCAAATCTAATATTTTTTTCGTTACACTTTTAAGTGACTACCATTAAAAATTCGTTAAGTGACACGTCACAGATTTTTTTAAAAAGCATTTTTTTTAATAAAATCTTATTTTTAAAAAATAAAAAAATATATACAAACATACACATGTCATTTAACAATTTTTTTTTAGCAATAACACCTAAAATACAACAGAAAAAACATTAGACACCTTTTTTAACAAAAAATCTTCGAGCATCAAAAATCAATTTTAAGTATAGATTAGACACTTATTTTTGCATTAAGCTATTTTAAAAAAAATTCCATTATTTGAAGTCTTTGGTGGGGTAATCTCTCCATCTTAATCATGGATGTCAAACAAGACTCTTAAGAAAAATGAAGAATCAAAGTAACACAATTCTCCATCCCTTTCGTAAAAAAAATTAAATAAAAAAATATTTTATTTAACTTAATAATGTAAAATTAAAGTAAATTTGAATTTGATATTTTATTTTTATATCTTATATACTATTTTTTTTACATATTCTTATAAAATATAACTAATAATATATAGATGAATAAAACTAATAATGTATAATTACATAAAATGGATATCAGGTATTTTTTTCTTTGTGCGAAATTATTTTATTTTAAGTTCCAATTAAAACATTTCTATCCTTCAATAGTTTCACTTACTGTAATATTCGTTAAGTAAATTTAAATGCAAAAACGAAAACTATAAAAATTTAAAAAGATAAACTCACATCACAATCAGAGTTCGGGGGCAGCATGCATAGCAAACTCAGATTTGGAGCTTTGCTGCTTCACACAACCAATTAATCAATAAAAAATACATCACTGATTTTAAAGCTCAACTGCTGTTCATGGACTTCCTAATTCCTATACTCGATGGAAACTAGTGAAAGAGTAGAGCTAGACAAGTACCTCATCGGTTTAAAACAATCTTGATCGCATCTTGTTCGGCGGGTGTCAGACTCTACAAGTGTCATGGAAAACGAATTCACATTCTTTGAAGTCATTGTCCTAAAGGAGATAAAGCATATAAGTGGATGTAGCCAAGAGGCCAAAACCTGACAAAGATTATCGAATAGTTGTCGATCGCTTTGATAGAACTTCGATAAGAAGTCTGTGAGATAATTTGCCAAGTTAATCTGCAAGATTCATAGGTCGAATTCGGGGGTTATATGAAATTTTAAAATGTAGAGCATGTAAGTGAATTTAGTGCGTGGGGAAAAATTTCACCTCGTTAAGGGGATCTGCAACATTTAGTGTGTCGTCTTCATAATCGTCCTCTTGATTCTTCAGATTAACAATCGGGTTAAAAATTTGTAATGTCAAATAGAAAGGAACTATGGATGAGGAGAGAATTCAATGTTATTTCTATTCGATCAAACCTCGTTATACACTTTTGCCATCACTTCAAGATGCTCATATCCAGACTTCCCAAATGGTGCGGCAGCAGCAGCTGAGGATAGCAAATCTTTATCAGCATCCATGTCTCCGTGAATTTCTTCCCAGTCGCTATCCTGCAAAACAAATGGTTCATAGCCTAAACATCCACCCTCGGCTGTCATTATCATTATTCGCGGAAGTGGGTCTATCAAACTTACAGAATCTGGATTTGAATTCTGGAAAATCAAATACACGTCCCATGAAACGTAAATACAGAGCATGAGAAATAGTAAAAGAGGACAGAAACTACCTCATCCTCGGCATCCTGAGCTTGTTCTTGTATTTCAATCAATGCATCAGCAAGTAAAGCCAATATCTGCAGTAATAAGCAGTCGTTAGACCTTTTTTTGTGTTCAATATTCGCTCCTGTCAGACATATTTCTGAGGAAAAAAACATAGAAATACCTTTGCTGGAAGTGGCATTATAGTCCACTGGTCCGGAGCAGATTTAGCTTTTGAGCGAGTGGTTATCCCTGACATAGACTTCAGAGAAAGAAGACAAGTTACTTCCCAGCAAGCATATCAAAGAGAATGATTTTCAAGCATTTAAGTATCATGAACCTTAATCAGATGGCCCTGGACATTAATATTTGTTAATTCAGGATGCTTAGTGGAGAGCAATAGAGCTAAAGCACTGGTTGTAACTTTGATTTGATATGCCCCCTGAATCTCCCCTGCATTCCGAAGGATGTACGAGAATGAACATAAATGCAAGCCTCCTTTTCTTACAAATTATAAAGTAATCAAAAGATAATGAACAGCTCCTTGCCTTTTTCATATATAATGGATTTTGTACATGATGACAAGGAAGAGAAAGGGTTACATTCTTTTTATACACGGTAAATCATGAAAACTACAGAAATGAATCACGCAACTTCGAATAAAGAAAAATAAAATTAGTCCTTGATATTGTCTAAGATAATCTATTCAAACCCTCATGGAAGCTCCATATGATTAGGCATTCCGAAAGAGAGAGAGCTCCTTTGATTTTGTTTTTATATTTCTTATGTTTTATTTTGTTTAACCGCATTAGAACCAGTCCTAGCACACCTTTTTACTAGCGACTGCTTCCGGTAAGCATAGGTGCTAGGTCCAACGAAAATGCACCAAGATACTGTTTACATCAGAGCACGCAAGCAGACATAAATTCAATTTACTTATCCTTGCCAAACGTGGGAATGTGAACAGAAACTTGCCTTGTTGTTTGGTCCACTCTGACATTACATAAACAAATGCATTTTGATAGCCTTCAGCTGGGATGGTGAGGAGCAAATTGATAAACTGTTCAACATTTGGGACACTCAAATGAATCTGCAATTAAATTAATGTAACGGTGAGAAAATTTATCCATGAAAATAAGTTCTAGACTAGCGGAATACATTCTCTTTTTCCAGAATAAGGCTTCTTCTTTTATGAAATATACATGTGTGTGTGTGTATTGAACACCTTAGCTTGTATAAAAGACCATATTAATGAAAATTATTTACAAGTTACAAGCAATAAAATTGTCAACCCTACTCTAATAGGAGCTTCTTGTAATTCATTTTTAGCAACAAAGAATATGTAATTTTTCTGCTTGACAAATCCAGAAGTTAATTTTCACTCTTCTATAAAAGTTGACAAGGACTTAGTTTAACCAAGATGAAGTTGAGACTTGGACACAATACCAATCTAGCAAAAATAAGTAGCAACGAGCTTCTCAATCCTGCTATCGAAGCCGATTGCATACGTCTAACGAGAGCAACAATCAAGTTTTGAATGTGCTGCCCCATTTGTGAGGGGAGATGCAATATAAGTTGAAGGATATAGCTGCCAACAAATAGAGACCCAGAGCTTTCTAAATCAGGATCGAGAAGCCTGCAAATCAGATTGCACAAATAAGCGTTAAAAAAACATGCATATAAGAAAACCTTACAAGTAGAGTTTAGCTAGACTAATTTGCAAAAACTTGAATTCACAAGTTCACTGCCATTGCACGCAATGCCACTTGGAACTTTGAACAAGGTTTCAAATACATCAAGTATAGAACCTTGATAATGTTGAAGAACAACAATTCTAAGTAATGGAAGGAGAGAAGAAAAAAAATTGGCTTGGGGGGATACAGGAAGTAAAGAATCGACATGAATAAGAAACCTTGAAGCTGCATCAAGCAAACTCCGCATTGTAAATCCGGAATCACTACCCCAAGCAAGAAGTTCTTTTCTGCCACCAGATACAAAAGATGCCAAACATTCTGTTGCATTCTGATAAACGCAGGAGAAAAGCAGCACTTATGTTCACATTTTAGATAGTCGATTACCATTTATGAATGAAACATACAGTGACAAGTTATACCTGCATTTCACTGTGATCATCACTTTCAAGAATTATCCGGATAATAGCATCAAAACAAGCATCATAAGCTGCTTTTACCACATCAGTAGGAGCATTCTGTACAATGCTATCACAAACTGTAATTAGCAAAACAATACAATACAGCTATATATATAACACATTTTTAAATAAAAAAAAAAGAAAAAGAAAGGAATTTAGGTGCATATGACATTCTTCCAGCCAAGTACCACTTGCCTTCAATAGCATTGTTAATAGATCCAATGACCCAGCCACTAGTCCATCTGGCTGTTGTTGACGCTGGAAATTTGCAATCAAAAGATGCATTAATGACAATCATTTAAATTCATTTCAAGTCTCGTTACCACAAAAGGCACTTAAAAGGTCATACTTTGTTCAATACTGGCCCAATATATGGTAAAATTCGGGAAGCCAAAGGAAGAAAACAACCAGGAGTATTTTTTATTGCCTGAGAGATTTTCAAAATAAAAATATCAGAACTAATTTCACATCCCAAAAATTATAAAAGAAACACAGAAATAATTAAGAAAGCCTGGTAAAAGATATAAAGAACAAAAACCATATATCTCAGATGATTATAGATGAAAGAAAACCTCATGTGCCTAATTGAATCCCATAAAGTAGTCAAACAAAAAATAGCAATAATAAGCAAATAAAAATTATCAAGGGAATTGAAGTTAAACTAAACAAACATATTTCCCAAAACTATTTTCCCAAGAAGGAAGGCAGTAATTCAAGCTATTTTTTTTTATAGGAATAGAATGCCTCATTAAAAACCTCCCTCATAGATAGCCCTTTCCCAACAGAAAGGATCCAGAGCCACAAAAGTTCACGTGTTAGTGAGAGAAGCTCTAGCTTCTCTCTAACCTAGGTGTTTTTCAAATTTCAAATATCCCAGGCGTTTTTGAAATTTATTCTCCCCTTCGACATTCATTCGTTGTCCGCTGCCGCCGTCCGCCACCCACCGCCGCCGTTTGTCACCGCGTCGGTCGCCACATCCGGTGGCTGTTGACCACCAAATCTTCCAGGTTTTTTCGTCTCGGCGCCATCATCTCGGTTCTAGGCATCATTACGTCAGGGTGAGCCTTCAACTCAGTGGATCTGGGACGAGGACCTTCGGCTTTCAGTTGTTGGCGACGCATCTTCTCCGTCAAAGATCTTTACGCCTTGGTTTCCGTTTTGCCAGCGTCTCATCGCCTGTCTATATCTACCTGTTGGACTCTATTCATCACCTACTCCCTTCTTTTTTCGCCGGCAGTCACAGCCTCCATCGCCGGCAGTCACAGCCTCCATCGTCGGCAGTCACAGCTTCCATCGTCGGGCGCTAACAGAACAGTTCCGTCAAGTCCCTGGGTTGTTTTTACTTCAACGGTTTTCTTCATGCGGGGTGCTGGAATCGTCCCTTCTGTCTAGCAGAAATCGAAGGGCCAAACTCCTTCATCCTCTGCAAACGCGCTTTCTCCGTCATCTCTCCCTTCTCATCTTGAGGAGGTTCGTACCATCTTCATTATGGGTCTGCCTGTAGATGTCAAAGAGAGAGAACTGCAGAATCTTCTGAGATGGCTTCCAGGCTTTGAAGATTCTCATTTGAGTTATAAAGGAGAAAAGCCTAAGGGTTTCGCTCTCTTCTCAAATGCAGAATTTGCAGTTGCTGCCAAGGATGCTCTCCAGAAAATGGTTTTTGATTCTAAGTTGAAGTCTCTTTTGCACATTGAGATGGCAAGGAAGAATCTTGTTGTTAAAAGAGGTATTATTTCTAATTCTGATGCTCCTGTTCCTCCAGTACAGCCATTGCCAAATCCAGCCTCTTTAGCATCTCCAAGTATTCATGTGCCTTTTAAATCTGGGAGTTGCGACGAAAAGTCAGCAGTTGATGGTGTTCACGATGGAATCAGGGAATCTATCACAAAGGAGTGCAATGTTGATAAGTATGGATGCTACACATTATTTGTTGAAAATTTACCAGAGAATATTCATTGGAAGAGGCTTGGATCATTTTTTGCTCCCATGGTCGGGTTATTGATGCTTTTATTCCAAATAAAAGAAATGCAAAAGGAGTTCGTTTTGGTTTCATTCGCTTCGCTTCAATCGAAGAAGCAAGGAGAGAGACCTCAAAAATGAATGGCTCTTATATCGACGGCAGCAAAATTGGCGTTTCTTTCGCTAAATTCAAACCTCGTCAATCCTATTGGAGAAAGTCTTCCACAGGTGTTCTCCACAAGTCCGGGATGGAAGATGATTCGAGGAAGAAGCATTATAAAGTCGAAGGTGTTATTGATAAAGAAAAACTTCAGGTGTTGAATTATTGTCTAGTGGGGTGGTGTAAAAATTTCATCAAAATCAGTCATCTCGCTAGACAAATGCATGCGAAGGGCCTCACTGGCTTCTCCTTAATGAGAGTTGCTGGAAATGCGGTATTAATGATTTTCGAAGATTCTGCTTCTTTGAGAAGTGTGAAGAACGATAAATCAGAGACTCTCGCAGAGTGGTTCTCTATAATCGAAGCTTGGTCAGAGAGTTTGGTATTGGAGTGTCGCCGAGTATGGTTAGTTTGCGAGGGTGTTCCGTTTCACGCATGGAATTGGGATACCTTCAAGAACATTGCTGATAGTTGGGGTCAGTTACTAGCAATCGACGAAAGCTGTCAGTCACCATCATCCTTTGATCGGGCAAAAATTCAAGTCCTAGCAAAGGCTGGTGCGAGAATTGATGCGACGTTGGAATTGAAGGTGGGTGACAACTCCTTCAAGATCATGGTGCATGAGATAGCTCGTGGGCTCCTGAAGAAGACGAATCTAATTAGATTTTGCCTTTCTATTTGTGGTTTAATTTAGTTTATATGGTTGCAGGTGTTGCTTTTATTTTGTTTTATGTTCTGTTGCGTTGTTTAAATTCTATTACTGGAGGTGTAATTAGAAATAAGGTGTTTAGATTGCGACTTTGGTTGAGGTTATATGAGGTTAAGGTGTTTGTTGTAATGGTGTTTATCACCATAGGAGGATATTTCGTGTAATATTTTGTATTGGGTATTGTTATTAATTTAATTTGAGGTACTCTTTTCTTCCTTCCAATGTTCGTTAACATACTTCTTAGTATGTGAACGAATAAGAAGGGAGTTTTTAATGAGACCTCCAACTTCTATAAAAAAAAACAGAAAGGATCCACTATTGGAGGGAGGAAAAGAGTGCCTCGTTTTATTGCTGAACCAAAATTACATAAAACTTAACAATTACACCAGAAATCCTGACATAAAACTTAATAACTCCACCTACTTGAAAAACCTACTAACTGGGTAGGAAAATAACAAGCATCTATAGTCTTATGCATTATCTCCTAACAAAATTGATGTATTATACCATAGCCCAATGATACTTGGATCCAGATGTGTCTGGCAGACTGGCACCCAGTGACATATATTAGGTTCAAACTTACAAAATTTACTAACAAAATAATTTTAGAACAAAACATCCTCAAAACTGTTTCTGCTGGGCTTTAAGAGCAGCAATTCAAGTAAAATTCCGTAAAACCATGTACATAAATTTTCTTGAGGTGCTTGGGTAAAAAATGCAAATTTTCAAGCTGCCAAGGTAGAAGTAGTAACACTTTACAAGGTTTCATTACTTTTTTTCCGTAGACATGCATGAATACTTCAAAAGTTCCAGCAACTGAAAATATTCAAAATCTAAAAGATGTGAACGATGATTGACGGCATTCATATCAGGTCTATTATATCTAAAAGATATCATGTTAAAGAATTAATAGATAAACAAGCATTTAATCACAACGATCAGCAAAACAAGTTCACCATAAAACTGCAATAAATGAACTATGAAAATCATAGCTGCCACAGTGCACAAGCAAAATAATAAATGAATTAGTTACTATGCAGTATACCATAGTGGAATAGTGAGGCAACACTTCTGCTACCATCCACATAACTATAGTAATTTTTTCTTTTGGACAAGTTACTATAGGAAATTTTATATCATGGGCTTTTTTGTCCTTTCTTGCTCCTCGTCAATTATTTGTACAGCTGGGACCAAGAATTATTTTGAAAGCTAGAATTATTCTTAATTAATTTTGTACTCTGTACAGTAATATGTAGTACTCCCGTTCAATGTGGCTAAATTTTATTGGCAGTGATTCAAGAAAGAACCTTTCTACTCCATGACCTTGTAACAAGAAACCAGAAGATGAGCCATTTGATTACTCTTCCTCACATGAATCTCAATTCGCCTTACACTAGATTCCTAGTTTAGATTTGCTGCCTACAATTATGATGTGAAAAATTCCATCTATGTTAAGCAACTATAGTTTTAATCAACGTGAGATCACTCAGAGGATATATTACTAGTAACAAGTTGAGACATCGAGATATAATATCTCACCGAACACGTATAAACTTAATAACCATACTTGAGGAATGGAAATTGAGTAAAAAGTAGAAATTGTAAAAGATAAAAATTGAGATATTCAGAATGAAAAGAGAGAGATTTCTCTTCTTATAATAAACAGCTAACAGCATTTGCATTGCTACCTCCAGAACTTCAATTGCATCAATACTAATGAAAGGATCCGAAATGTGCAACACCCACATATTGAGGATTATAGGAGAAATAATAGGCTCTGCAGATGCTGATGACTCATGACCTATAGCAAGCAAAAATGAAAAGTTGAACTATTGTAATATAAAAGAAAACACCTTAATTTATCATGGAGACTAAAATAAATTACATATCAACTATATCTAAACCCACCAGCTTTAATTGCTGCTTGCAGTGTTTCAAGTACCAGGTGTAACGTTTCATCAGAAGTCTGAAATCAGAATCAGAAGATGGCCATTAGAAGTGACTTCAACACCCACTTTGGGGAATTACAGAGTTTGTACATACCTGATGAAGAAGGTCTGTCAGTGATGACAATAAACCCATCATCTGAGGCTGAATGGTACTCTTGTTTGCTTCAGGAAGCAGCTGTGAAAGTGCTCGACACGCACCCACTTTCACAGCTGGAGGGCTGCAAGTAGAAAAACTCAATATAAGATTTATGCTATCAATTCCCTGGTGGTCAGATATCAAATGGGCTAGGTACACTTACACGTCCATGCCAATTGTCTTCATAGCAGTATGGAGAAAATGTTCAAGAATTCCACTGCTGATCTGAAAATAAATTATAAATTGAATTAGATATTCTGAGAGGAAATAATCCATAAGATAACCTCAAATATAAGGAGAGGACATCCTTACCACAGAGGAAAATTTAGCAACTGATATAAACATACGAGCATAAAGAAATGGATATTCATGTACCCCTGTAAAACAAAAATGGCAACACTTTCATGCTCATGTCACATCAAGGTACTGCAAAATCTAGTCCAATTTATTCTAATAGATAAGATGTGTCCACCAAATCAATGGTGATATATAACTATTAAACACAATAAAATCAAACATTAAGTGAATACCAATTCCCATATCTTCAGTAACAACTTGTTCTAGAAGGTTCCCTAAGCTCACTTTTTTAAGTCCAGAAACCTGCTACCATAAATTTAATACAACATTAGAGTCGAGAACTGTGAAACATTATTGGACATTATGCCTCAACCTAAGGAAAAAGTGATTACTCATGATTGAAAGTTATCATGGAAAGAACAAACCTCTGCCTCAAGTAATTGCTCGGACAAAGAAGCTAGAGCGAACAAAGTAGCCTCCCTTAGCTATAAAATTTACCATCCAGAAAAGAGCTATTAGGAAGATTTAAAAGGAGAAAGAAAAAAATTGCATTAAAATAATTACGAAATTATTTCCGTCAAAAAATGTTTTTTAGTGTCTTCCACATGATTATTTTTTTTGATAAGAATTGTAGGCCTCATTAAAAACCCCCCTTCTTGATTATAGGAGCTTATAACCAAGCTCCTTAATCAGTGGAAGGAGGAAAAGAGTGCCTTAGAAATTTATTCAACACCTGAAATTACATAAGATACATCCAGAAAAACACCCCTTCAAAAACAGAACAACAGAAGACACCCAAAAACAACCATAACCAACACCACTGACTTAGGGTAAACCAATTTAGAAACCTGATTGGTCTTCCACATGATTATGGAAAATCAAACTCATTTAACAAGTTTAAAACTTTAGATGATTGTTCTTCTACTCTGTTACGGAAATACCAAGTTATGCCACAAGACAAAATGTTAAAGGAGAAGTTAAGAGCACACTATAGCAAGTCAAAATTTTAGATTCCGAGAGATAAATCTTTCATTAACGGTAAGCCACAAGAGAAGGTTATACTTACCCTCCACCAAACTACAGAACCACCAGCTTTTTCTTGTTGAGACTCGCTGAATCTTCTCCCCGCAGCACTAATAATAGCATCAATACCTTTTTCCCCACAACAAGTTGCCACCTCCTCTAGTAAAAGTGCACCTGCAGCAAGTAAAATTTTATAAGGAAAGAAATCAAGGAAGTCTTGATTTCTTGAGGACAGCCAAAGGTAAAAGAGATGCTATCAGATACATAAACAGATTCATAGACTTAAATGGCAGATTAGGCAAATACAAGTGGTGATTTATCGAAGACAAAGGCAATTAGGTAGTAGATGGGCTGAGCTTGGGAACAAAAAAGAGGATATATGAAGATAGACAGAAAATGATGTTTCGGAAAGTAAAGACCACGATGTGTTGAAAACTAATTTGATAATTGCACCTCATGAAGGAACCAACAAAAGACTGTAGATTCCCTCAAATAAAATTATATTACTAGATGCATAAACAAACAATAGATCTTTCAAGCTTCATCATGCTGCATAAAAAGAAAATCTAAGTAGTAGTTATCGGTGAACAAAGGATTTTTCTTTCTCTTAAGTTCTAATCGTGCATATTAATTTGAGACAACCAATTGTTTTTGGACCTCTGTTCTATCTTCAATTTATACAGCAACTATTATAATGAATTTCATGATGAATTCAGGTTTTTGCAACAGATATCCCAAAGGTGCTGTTATCGTTTGAAGTAGTTTCTCTTATAACTACGGTAAAAGAAAAAGTTATTAGTTTCCAATATGACGAAAATAATGTCTTGGTAAGATCATATAGATGCATGACACATATGCTTCGAGATAAACAAATCAGCCATATATAACATCACCGAGGAATCCCAATAAACCTGGGTGCCAATAGAAATATCCAAAACAAGCTACCAATGTATAAGCTACTTACCAGAGACACGGCAGCTGTAAGTGACATCATCCTCATCAGCTACAAATTGGTTAACATCCGTCGACCACATATGGATCTAGAAAGGATTCAAACATAGGAACGGTGGGAAGAGTGTAAACTGAATCTTAGAAGAATTAAATTTAAAGAAAATTAAGGTTAATGATAAAAGGGGCACACAAAAGATTGAAAGCTTTTACTGCATAAATGAAAAAGAGGCAAAAAAAATGCACGTCTAGATCCTCTTAAACATTGGCACAAAGTGCAGGTGACCAGCTTAGCAGTAATAAGAAGCTTGGAACATTATGATGACAGTTGGGCTGCTTGCAACTATCATTGAGCATATTTAAAACCCACAGACCAAACATCTTTCCCAATGACAACACCCAGTTTAAAAGCGATAGAGAAAATGCAAAGCCATGAACGCAACTATTGGTTGTGATTAATGATTGAACGAAGAGATACAACCACTTTCAGGAATTAATCTTTGCTACAGGAAACTAAGCTGAGTTTCTGTAAAATCGGTTTATGGAGGAAGTTGGGGGGCAAATTTCTGAAAGGAAGAAGTTTTCATCTAGCTGATGGGTCTGCTGGTGGGTTAATTTGTTTATGGAATGAGGATCTTTTTGAAATTACCAGTGAATTTAAGACCAGCAGATTCATTGCTATCTCAGGTAAGTTCAAGCTGGCAAATTGTGACTGCTTTTATTAACGTGTATGGTCCGTCGGTGGAGGCTGATAAGGAGGTTTTTTTCAGAGGATTGATGGATTTTGTGCAAGGTTTAAGCTTGCCTGTTTGCTTAGGGGGGGACTTCAATGCTTATCTGGATCCTGAGGAGAAGATTGGAATGGCTCAGAATTGGCATTCAATTGAGCTTTTTTCGAACTTTGTTCAAAGTCTGAATCTAATGGACCTTCCGTTAGTGGGAGGGAAGTTTACTTGGTGCAATAATAGAGAAGGTGCCACTTGGATAAGGCTAGATCGGTTTTTTTTTTTGATAGGAATAGGAGGTCTCATTAAAAACCTCCCTCTTAGTGGACCTTATCCGTAAGGTAAGGCCCAACTAGCGGAAGGAGGAAAAGAGTACCTCAATTTATTAATGAAAGCCAAGTTACATAAGACTTAAAAACACTTTTACATGCAACATAAGACCTCACACACTCCTCTAGCTTCTAGGCTCAGAAACAGCTACCAATTGAAACAACCAAAAAAATCACCCGATCCCCTCTTTTGCTAGTTTGTCAGCCTCACAATTACAAGACCTTGGAATCCACCTGACAATAAAATTTCTAAAAGAAACAATAGATACAATTTCCTTAACAAAATTTGAAAGGGAAGGAGGAACCAAAGCTTGATCTTTGATCCAATCCACGACCAGCTTACAATCACATTCAATAATGAGTCTGCCCTTGAACAACCATTCTGAAGAAACAAAGATATCAATGCCTCTTTTAACAGCTTTCAATTCTGCTAAATAGGGATGAGAAGGACCAGCATTTTCTGAAAAAGAGATAAGTATAACCCGATTCCAATCCCTGAGAAGACCCCCTATTCCAGCAACTCTCCCAACTCTACTAAAAGCTCCATCCACATTCAGATCATAATCCAGTGATGCTTGTAGAAGATTTTGAAAACTGGGGCCCTAAACCTTTTAGGTTTTTTAATTACCTTTTAGAGGAAGAAGGGTTTGATGGGGTGGTCCAGAATTCTGTTATTACGGCCAATGACCTAAGGGGTCTGTTTAGCATTCTTAAAGGTACTAAGCAAGTGATCAAATAGTGGTCCAATAAAAATCGTTTGGGGATTTCTGAGCAAATTACAGATTTGGAAGCTAGGATCAATGATTTGGAATTGAAGTCTCAAGGTGGGGGGTTGTCTCCACAAGATAGGGATCAACTTCTGTTGATGAGGTCAGATCTGTGGATATTGCATAGGAAGGAAGAGAGTATTTGGATGCAGAAATCTAGATTAAAGTGGATTAAGGATGGGGATAGGAATACGAGGTTCTTCCATTTATGTGCTACTAATAGGAATCGAGTTAATGCAATCTCGGCCTTGAAAGTTAACGGTGTCGTAACTGCTGATCCGAACCAGATCATAACGGCTATTAAGGATTTTTTTTTTTGATAGGAATAGATGGCCTCATTAAAAACCTCCCTCTTAGAGGTCTTTTACCATATGGTAAGAACCAACTAGCGGAAGGAGGAAAAGAGTGCCAGACTTTATTGATTGCAAAAGAATTACATAAGACTTAAAAACAGTCCTACAAGATACATAAAACTTAAACACACTGCTAAAAATCATAACAACTGAACGCTACAACTCGCTGAAACAACAAATCCCATCACCCAATCCCCTCCTTTGCTAACTTATCAGCCTCGCAATTACAGCACCTCGGAATCCACCTCACAATAATCTCGTGCGCAGACATTGTAGAAGCTATCTCCTTAACTAGATTAGTAAGAAAAGTAGGGACAGTTGCTTGATCTTTCAACCATTCCACTGCTAGTTTGCAATCAGATTCCACAATTAACCTTCCCTTTGGTGCCCATTCTGAAGAAACAAATAAATCTATTCCTTTCTTGATTGCTTTCAACTCTACTACGATGATAGGAGTAGGACCAACATTTTCTGAAAAAGAAATCAGCTTTGTCCGATCCAGTCTCTGAGAATACCCCCAATTCCAGCAGTTCTCCCAACAGTACAAACAGCTCCATCCACATTTATTTTATAAAAGTCAGTTGGAGGTGGACTCCAACTAACCACCGGCCTGTTCAAATCTTTTATAATTGAGCAAGTGTCTGCCAATGAAGGATCAACAATTAACGAATCCACCTGAATAGAACTTTTTGGATACTTTTCTAAGAACCATTTCGCTAACCTTAGCCGAACTGTGAAAAACAAAGCGAAACTGTCCAGTTTACCTCCATTAAAGATGATATCATTTCTAAATTTCCATAGAGACCATAGGATTGCCGCTGGAATGAACTTCCACATGGAAGAATAAAGCTTCAAGTATGTCCAAGAGCTAAGGAGGGAGGGAGGATCAGAGGGTAAAACACACGAAATACCCCAAAAGCCGATAATTTTATTCCACAATTCCCACGAAACTTGGCAAGAAATAAAAAGATGTTGAACAGATTCTTCACAAAGATTGCAAAGAGGACATAAAATATCGTCCCCTAAGGGAACCACCCGTTTCTTCAACTCCACTCTCACCGGTAATTTTTTATGGGATACTTGCCAAAGGAAAGCCTCAACTCTTGGAGGAACTAAACCCATCCAAACATATTTGTTCCATAAAAATGAATTTTCATTAGAATAGGGAAAAGACTTCCTACAAGCTTTAACCGAAAACAACTCCTCCCCCACTCCATCCCATAGCAAACAATCCTCCAAAGATTCGGTTAATTTAATGTCTTTGAGTCTATCCAATAGCTCCACCAACTGAACCACCTCCCAATCACAGAGATTCCTCCTCGTTCTAATATTCCACTCCCATCCATTCGAATCGAAGCTCCCAAAATCAGCAACCTTGCCCCCTTGGATTGGAGAAAGAGCAAAAATCCTAGGGAAAAGCATTTTTCAAAGGAACATCCCCTAACCAAGAATCATTCCAAAATGAGATTGATTTGCCATTCCCTACTTGTAACTTCGCATGGGCTCTAAGGCAACCTCCAACAACATCATCTTTGGTGAAGTTATTAACAATTCCCCTTCAAATCCAAGAGTCCTTATGTGAAAGGACTTTGGTAATATCCATGGAATAGCAACTAACATCATGTTTGGTGCATATGAAACGCTTCCACAATGAACTTTTTTCATTAGCAAACTTCCACACCCACTTTCCCAACAAGGCTCGGTTAGAATATTTCAAGTCGGCAACTCCCAAACCTCCACAACTCGAAGGATTGCAAATCTTATCCCAACTTAACCAATGCATTTTCTTCTTCTCGGCCCCATCACCCCATAAAAAAGCCGCCATAAAAGAATTTAACTTCTTGCAAATAGTAGAAGGCATCTTGAAAAAAGATAGAAAGAAAATAGGTAAAGATGACAAAACCGACTTAATAAGCACCAATCTACCTGCCAATGACAAGGAAGAGGCTTTCCACCCCGCTAGTTTCTTGTGGAAATTATCAAGAACCGGCTCCCACAATTTCTCACAATTTCTTTTTGCCCCTAACGGAAGTCCCAAGTAAACGGTCGGAAATGAACCTACAGAGCATCCAATAGCCGCAGCCCTATCTCCCATGATATCATCCTCCACATTGATGCCAAAAAGTTTGCTTTTAGCTAAATAAAGATGAAGGAAGAGGCTTTCCACCTCGCTAGTTTCTTGTGGAAATTATCAAGAACCGGCTCCCACAATTTCTCACAATTTCTTTTTGCCCCTAACGGAAGTCCCAAGTAAACGGTCGGAAATGAACCTACAGAGCATCCAATAGCCGCAGCCCTATCTCCCATGATATCATCCTCCACATTGATGCCAAAAAGTTTGCTTTTAGCTAAATAAAGATGAAGGAAGAGGCTTTCCACCCCGCTAGTTTCTTGTGGAAATTATCAAGAACCGGCTCCCACAATTTCTCACAATTTCTTTTTGCCCCTAACGGAAGTCCCAAGTAAACGGTCGGAAATGAACCTACAGAGCATCCAATAGCCGCAGCCCTATCTCCCATGATATCATCCTCCACATTGATGCCAAAAAGTTTGCTTTTAGTTAAATAAAGATGAAGTCCCGTCATTAAGCTATAAATCCTCAGAACTCGTCTCACATTCTTTATCTGAGTAATGGAAGCTCCACAGAAAATAATAAGGTCATCTGCGAACTGAAGATGTGACAAAGTGAAATTATTTTGGTTTTTGCCAAACGCAAACCCTTGAAATAGGCCAATTTCCACAGCTTTGGATAACATCATGTGAAGTAGTTCACCAACCACGTTAAACAAAAGAGGAGAAAGGCTACATCCTTGTCTCAAGCCTTTAGCTATTGGGAACTCCTCTGTAGGCGACCCATTGACTAAGACCGAGATTAAGGCAGTGGAAATACACTGTGAAATCCAAGAACACCACCTTTC